TAATGGGAGAGAAGGCCGAAACATGCCATTGGAAGAATCTACTGAGACAAAGATGGGATGTCAAGAATGTAGAGAAGGTAGGATGGACAACTATTCAGATCTAGTATGAATCGTACATAGACAGTTGTTGGAGTCGCGGCTCTCTTAGGATTCCCTTATCATAGATGGTATGAAATTACAAAAGAGACGAAGCCCAATAGAATCCCTTCTAACATAGAAGTGATGAAAGATAGACTATTAAATAATATAGATATAGAGTGAACCAACTCTAGAAATTTCTAGGCAAATATTAAATAAAAAACATATAAAACAAATAAATGGCACACCACCCTTTTCTCATCTTTCTGCTTAGCCCTGCGGTTGAGTGGGAGAGATTACTTTTTTAACATAATTGTAACTGTGGCCTATTAACCTTAAAAGAAAATCTTTCCCACGCCATCTAGGAAGGAAAAGCATTAATAGATGGGCTAGCTCATTTTCCATCAGTGTTAAACGTTAAATCAATTTCAATCAAGGAAAGTTTTCATCCATTAATTAACTCATTATGAACTTCTTAAAATAAGAAAAAAGTTGTTTAAAATATTTTGAGCTTTAAGACTGCAATAATTTCAAGCACGCTTTCACTCGAGAAACCAAGGTCATTGGCAAACTTTGAGGTTCTATGACTTTGTTTAAGATGGATGGAATCAAATAAGGGATAAGGAAGCACCTGTCTTCGGCCAAGGGTCGCTTCTTCCCTTTCTTCTCACTGTTAACTCCATTTGATGCACCCTTCAAAAATTATCATTACTCATTAATCTGAATTAACCAACCACATAAATTATTATTTAGATAGAAATAACTGTTACCAAGCCATCCTTCCACAGGATTGTTGTTCCAGTAATTTTGATTGCTCCATCTTCAAAGAACGTATATGTCTTCTCTAGCTTTCTATCTTCAAAATAAGGATTCTCGTTGAAATTCTGTAATTTTAAGCAGTTTAGTGACAGATCATTATCACATTCTGCAATTGAGGGAAGATATGAATGATGCAAATGGACGGACACAGTATAAGTCAAACAGGTTAGCTGAAACTCACAAATATGATGGAATACCCCATCTTTACATCCTTCTGATCCTCCACTTCAAGAGAATATAAATGCCTAAAGATCTGCACCAAGAATAAGAGACCAACAATTAAGAGAGTGTATACTTGTTTGCAGTTGATTAATACAGAATCAAAAGTCTCATTGAATTAGGACTTCAAAATAAACTGAAGTATAAGAAACTCGCAGAAAAATCCTTTCTTGGGTTAAAGCAACTAACCTTCTGATCTTCTTCGGACAAAAGATCACAAAGTGCAGGATGACTCAAGAACTGCATAAATCAAGCATTGGACGTGTGAATCAAAGGGGGAAAGAAAAGTACACTTCACAAAGATCATATGTAAAATGTCAATAAATAAACAGAGCACTAACGGCAGTTAACCAGAAGTCCGGAATAGTTTTGATAATCTCATTCCGTTTCACATAAACAGGCCGCCTTATCTCATTATATTTCTGTTCAACTTCCAAAACTTTGTCACCTGCTTCTTCATTAACCTGTTGGATCCAAAGGTTCAAGGCTAAGTACAAGTCTATCTATTAAATATTGAATGATATATAAGAAATTGCATTATTGCCATATAGATCAGGCATTGGCAGAACATAGCCATGGTGAATGTCTTGTACATATTGCCTATCAAGTTCGAGATTTATACTCTTTTTTTATCCACCTAGAATGAGAACAAGAAATCATATCCTTTGATCCAACACTGGACCGCTTATAATCTTGAATTGGAAAGAACTTCTATACAAGTTGGGAATGATCATTAATAGTTATAAACCCACATGGAAATATTCTACCTAAAAGATAAAAAAACGGAAAAAAGAAAATTGTAGCTATATTATTACCCAATAAGTGAAATAAAAAAGTATGCACACTAAACAACCTGATTATTTCGCAAAAGATGAAAGCAGGCAAAGAATATAAAAATAGAAGGAGAAAGAAAAGTATCCAAATTAAATGTTTTTTGTAAAACCATACTTAGAGTCTGTGGGATTTCGATAATCGGCCATACATATATGTAATGTTTTGATATGAAGCAACACTTCAGTAAGGTAAATGAAAGAAAGAAAAAAAAGCATCAACAAGAAACATGATGGGGTAGGTGAAACCTACAACTGGATATTGCAAACATTATACGACTTAAAATATAAAGATGTGACAGTTAATATTAGAATATCAAGATTCATTCCAGTGGCGGCCAAGTTTAATGGAATTTTTCCATCCAAGATTTTTTTTTTTTTTTTTATAGAGAGAGAGAGGAAACACACTTCTCGTTGATGTAGTGGAAAGTTAAATGCAAGTTATAATTGCCTAGCATGAACTTATAGAAAATACTCCCACAATTATATAATCTTATAAATTTAATTACAATAAGGTAAGTAAACATTGACATATTCTCTGTTGCACATTATGACAATATTTTTCTTTTTTTGATAAGACATTATGACCCTATTTTCATGGCTTACAACTTAATGTTTTTACATGCATCTTCTCAATTTTAAAAAGCGTGAAACAAAGAAGAAGAGAAAGAGATATGATTGAAGTTTGAGAGAATTGAATTCAACCTCATAAATGCATAACAAAACAAGAAAAAGAAAAACATGACCATTATAAAAAAAGTAGAATCTGAAACAAGGTATAATGCTTGCAAAATAGCATCTACTTGAGTCATAAGATTGCGGCATTTAATGGCAATAAGATCTACTGTCCTTGTCTCCATTTCAGATCGCATATACAATGTGAATGTGGTAATATAATTATGACTTTCCTTCAAAAAATCAAAAGCAACATTTAAGAAGTGATCGATTATGGAGCTATTCAGCCTGATTCTTCGCAATTTTTGCAGAGTCCAGTCTTCCCCAACTAAATACAAGAAATTGAGGAAACGCAGTGATATTTAGCTCAGAGCATAGAAGTCGGAAGTACTTTCAAACGGTTGAGGGAAGGTTGAAATAAAGTGGTAGTATAGCATGATATTCGAACCAAGACACATCCAACACAAATTATTTTCCATCCAAAACAAATTAGTTGTCCATGTAATTAGCATCCTTAATTGAAGAAAAATATGTAATTTCAGGATAAAGAGTATTAAGAAATCATTGAAACGGTTCAAGTCAATCATAACCCTACACTTTTAGCACGGAGAAGTTAGGGTAAAATTTGACCAAATTATTCAAACCAGGATTGCCGCAATGTGACACAAGTATAATTCAGAATCAAAAGCCAAGAAAATTAGCCCTAATCACAAGTTACGCCTTCCAGTCAAGCCCTGGTCTAATACTGTTTGAATAACCAACTTACGCTCATCACACTACATATGTAAGAATCAAGACCAGTTAAAGAAGCAAAATAAATTTGAAGTTAAGAAACAATAGAAAAAAAAAAAAACCATTCTCCTAGGTAATTGAGCTAACATATCCGTAAATCAAAATGACGTTGAAGTTCAGCAAGGGAAGCTACACAATTAAACAGCAGAAAACGCTAATATAGAGTGACACCGGAAAAATGGATGCACAGACTAAAGCCTATTCAAGGAAGACAAAAGTGAAAAGGGAAGTGACCTTCTCGAGTTCGTCTTGAACCTCCTGTAACTTCTCGATATAATGGACGAGCTCGACGTCAACGTGGTCAGCTTCGTCGTCCTCGACTTTGTCGGCAGGCTTGGATTTTTTACCCTTTTCGGCGACCATTTTAGAGGCGGAAACCTAGTTTCGTGAGGAGTACACCCGAAGTTGAAGAGAAACGACGAAAGAAAGAAGGAAAAACAGAGAGAGAGAGAGAGAGAGAGAGAGAATATGTTGGTGGCCAAAGGAAAAAAAAATCTGAAATCGGCCAATGAAGTGATAGTTTCAGATTGAAGACTGTTGCTCTGTATTTATATGGAGGTACGAGGGACGACTCTATTTAGTTTTCCCTCGTATATTCTCCTCATCCTTTTATTTTGTTTTCTTTAATTTTTTTTTTCTTCTTTATATTTTGAGAGGTTGGGAGATAGAAAGTCCCACATTTGCTAATTTTGATCATGGATTTGTAGCTTGGACGACGAAAGTTATCTGTTGTCCCATATTTGCTAATTTTGATTATGGGTTTGTAATCAAGGGCTTGGACGATAAAAGTCTCATATCTGCTATTTTTTATCATAGGTTTATAATCAAGGGCTAATTTAAATTAGCACATCTGCTAATTTTGATCCCGGACAATGAAAGTCCCACATCTGCTAATTTTGATCCCAAAAAAGTCCCACATCTGCTAATTTTGATCATTATAATGAATGGCTAATTTGGGGAAGGATCATAATCAAGAAATACTCTCTCTACATCTGCTAATTTTGATCCCAAAAAAATCCCACATCTGCTATTTTTTATCATTATAATGAATGGCTAATTTAGGGAAGGGTCATGATCAAGAAATACTCTCTCTGATTATTATAATAAGAAATACTCTCTCAATGATCATGGGCTTACAATCAATACGGCATAAAGCCTTTTGAAAAAACTCAAAAGCAAAGCCATGAGTGGATTTATAATCAAAGAATACTTTCTCCATTGACACGAGAGCTTATACTCAAAGTAGACAATATCATACTAGAGAGGCGTGATTCCTAACCGGTTGATTGTCAGATTGTTTTTTTTTAAAATTATTTTTAAAAAAAATCTTATTTAATAACTAAAATCTTATTATTAATATCAATTACAAACATTAAATATTATTAAGTGTTCATCACAATCAAAAAATCTAAAAAGTAGAGTGAGATTGGATTATAAATCTACCGTTGGGTTGGTCGAGTGGGATAGCCCAACCCAAACAAACAAAAGAAAAACTAATACAATTTAATTTTTATGGTTTGAGTTGAATAGTTCGAGTGGATAAGATTATCGGGCCAAAATGGTGTGAAAATTGGGGCGGACTCATTCTGGTCGGCGAAAAGCCCAATTACTAATACCCTTCAAAAGCAGGGAGGATGTAGTGGTTAAGCAAGCTCACAGAAGCACATACTGACTCTTCTCGACTTGGATCCATTATGGGCTCAACAAAAGCTAACATCTCTTCCTTACCATTAAGGCATCAAGTTCAAAACTTGAGGCCACCCCCATCAGAACTCACAAGTTTCATATGCAACTCAGCTGAAACAGTTCCATTATCTCCCAGAAACTCGACAATTTTCACCAAAACCTTTGATTTCAACACAAAAGATCACTAATTTCACCTTAATCTTCTTCTTCTCCATTTGATTCCAAGTAGAATGTCGAAATGCTTAGCTCGTGTTCTTCGCCGCGACGTTCTGCTACGACTTTCTTCTAATATCAAAGCCAGCTCCAAACTTTGCCCTCCTCTCTTTACCTTTACTCACTCTACCCAATTGGATCAACTGAGGTACAATCTTGACTACGGTTGAAGATGGGATTGCAAAACCAACACCAGCTGATGTTCCTGCAATCATGATAGTGTAGAGTCATGTTAAATCACATTCTAAATGTTGTCGTCGAAGAGCAGGACGAGGTAATGTGAAAATCACAACTACCCTGTCGTTACAGCAAGGACGAGACGGTGAATTGGCACTTGGCAGGAGGAAGATGGACGTTACCTGTTTGACTGAAAATAGCGGTATTGATACCGATCAAATTGCCTTTCGAATCAAGTAGAGGACCTCCACTGTCAAAGATACAGGAAAAGGATATCTCCTTGATGTTAACATCAAATATATATGGTGATAAAGACAAGATTTCCCTGATGGTATTCATTTTAGGATGAATCTTAGTCTAACCTATTCCCGGGATTGATAGCTGCATCCGTTTGGATTCCACCTCCGATGGTGACACCAATCTGACTAAAAACGTCGCGATTTAATCCACTAATGACTCCAACTGCGAGAGTATGATCAAAACCAAAAGGATTTCCAATTGCCAAGCAGTGTTGCCCCACTTTAAGAGAAGATGACTGCTCCACCTTGATTGGCCTCAAGAAATCGTTCGAGGCATCCACCTGCACGGTCGCAGAGATTATCTCAGATATGATTAGAATCAGTGATGTTTTGTTTGTTCTCTGGAATAACAATGGTAATCATGCATGCTTGATCATCAAATTCTTGCAAGATGAAAAGCCTTACCTTTAAAACGGCAAGATCCTTCGTGCGATCTGCACCAACGAGCTTGCCTCCAAAATTCTTCTGTATCCTATGCAAAGATTTAGAAAATTGAGGAAACAGATAGATGTTGTTTATCACAGTAGTATATTGGTCTAACTTCAAGCGTCCTCACCCATCGGATGCTAGGATATTAACTTGTGCAACAACCTGCCCAGCGCTCGGATTTCTTGCAAGGGCACTAGCAATTACTGTTCATTAGGTGAATACAAGGCTTGGCATTAGAAATGTCAGATGATCCTCACTGAAGCTATTCAATGTACAGTTGTTTCTAGTAGTATATGGTGACCATTTTACTCGGGCGCTAAAAGCACTCACCGTGATAATTCGTTACTATATGTCCCTGATCATCCCAGACTATTCCAGACCCATTTCCTTCAGGAATCTGCAAATAGGCATGGTAATGAATACAAAATGATGATCTTACATGAAGGTTATCAAAATAGGAACACAATAAACAGCTTGGGATATGCAATTCGTAACGTGTCAAAGTGGCTAAAACAACATGAACCATAGTTTTATAGATGATTACCTCGACCATTCCAGTTACATTGAGTTGAGGACGCAAAGTCGCATCGAAAATGTTGACAACAGAGTATGTATTTTTCTCAAACGATTCGACAACTCTATCCTGTCAACCGCATATTTCTCGTTCATACACCATGATAAATAATAACAATGCAATGAAGATCCAAAACAAATCAATTAGGAAGAAAGCATAAATAAGTATGTATTGAAGAGAAAAACACCTCTGTAGGGAAAAAGGCTCCAGAAGGTGAAAAAGTGGGGGTTACTTCATCTATGGTTATAGAAGGATCGCCCAAAGCTTGAGCTGTAAATACACTACACAACTTGGTTATAGATAAGTGATTTTCTCTTTTAAGAGTAAGAAAGTATCAACATGTAACGGTTCAAACCCACCGCTAGCAGATATTGTCCTCTTTGGGCTTTCCCTTTCGGGCTTCCCCTCGAAGTTTTTAAAATGCATCTGCTAGGGAGAGGTTTCCGAACCCTTATAATGAATGTTTTGTTCTACTCCCCGATCAACGTGGGATCTCACATAACATATATAAAGCTATAAAAGCTAGTAAATTAACAATTATGCTTCTTAGAACCCTCCAAGCAGAAATTTGCACATTTCAAGTTAACCACAACGTTTCATTTTCGCATGCAAAAATGATAAATGTTAGCGTCGATGATCCACGACACTGAAAATAACACAATAAGTTGAGACCGTTAGATGACGAAAGTCCCACATAGGCTAATTTAGGGAATGATCATGGGTTTATAAACGAAGAATACTCTCTCCATTGGTGTGAGACCTTTTGGGGAAGCCCAAAGCAAAGCCATGAGAGCTTATGCTCAAAGTGGACAATATCATACCATCGTAGAGAGTCGTGTTCGTCTAACAGAGACCGGTGCAGAAGAACCAAATGCAAGTTTATTGTGCAGAGATCATAAAGTAGTCAAACCTAGAAGGATAAGGCCACAAACTCAGAAACAAACTAGCAAATAACCTCCGCCGAGTTGTGAAAAGAAATTTGCTGGTCATTATAGAACAAAGATCTCCATAGTCATCACCAGCATTCCTGAATAATCAGCTACACTAATTACACACTTCACACAAAGTCCAAAACCAAGCTTAACAAAACTCAGAACTAAAACACCTAAATGCACATCAATTGGTACACGATGAACAAAGATTTTGGCCAGATGTTGCAATAGCACAGAGTAAAAAGGAGAGAAAAAACAACCTTAGGATGGGAATGGATTGGGAATTGCTGGGATTTGAAGGAGAGCACACAGACGACACACCATCAAAGCACAGTTCTCGTCTTCCCAAGAAATGGGTCGAAGTCCAAACACGAGATTCTACCATCATTCGCAGTTGGGGAGCATTGTATGCCAGAACTTGCATTTCTAACAGATTAAAGAGCAAATGGGTATGGAGTTTAGCGATAATAGATGCAGATGAAGGGGGGTTTTGAGATGCTCCATAACCAACCACCAAAGCTCAACCAATTCTTCAAGAACGGTACCTTGTTAGCACAAAAGCATCATCCAAATTTACTTCATTCCAAATCTGTACAAGCATTAGGGCAAATGTGTATTGGTTTTACTAAACCCTGTTGCCATTTTGCTTCGAATCCACCATGCACTCCTTTCTCTTCATTATTTTTGTTCACTCTCTCTCTCTCTCTCTCGAATTACCCCTAAAATCTCAACCGTCAACTTGAAACGTACATCGTCCGTTGGATCTAGGGCTTCAAAAGTTTAAAAACTTTACACTATATAAACAACTCCCTCTCCTGGATAGCTGCCGCTACTGCCTCGATTCTTCTTAGAGACGCATAGACACCCGAAATCAAGGTTAATTGAAGATGGTTCAGCGACTTACTTACCGTAAGCGCCACAGCTACGCCACCAAATCCAATCAGCACCGCGTTGTCAAGACTCCCGGTACGTTTTTTTTTGTCCTGAATCAGTGTAATTCCAGCTCTTATGAGCCGTTTTTCCTCTTCAATTTCGTGACCATTTTGGGTGTTGTGCTGATGCGTTTTAGGTGGAAAGTTGATCTATCAAACCACCAAGAAGAGGGCCAGCGGTCCCAAATGTCCTGTTACCGGGAAGAGAATCCAAGGGGTATGTGTGATTTTATGCCTTCGATTCGAAATTTTTCAGTTTTGGTGTGTTTATAATTGCATTTGGGGATCGTCATTCTTCCTGAAGCTGACATTGCGTCGCCCTGATAGCTAACTCTCAGTCTCTAGAACATATAGTTGTGGCAATTGGTAGCATTTTTGCAATCAATTCTCAATTCTCATAATGTATTTGTATTATCTTTTTGTTCTAATGTGTTCTTTGAACAGATTCCGCACTTGAGGCCTGCTGAATACAAGAGGTCTAGACTGGCTAGGAACCGAAGAACTGTAAACCGGGCATATGGTGGAGTGTTGTCAGGAAGTGCTGTTAGAGAGAGGTATGTGCTTCATTGAATCAGCCCTGAATTTTTGGTTTCCTTTGGGTTTTCTACCAAATTTAAGCAGTACTTCGACATTGGTTGCAGGATCATGCGGGCTTTTCTGGTAGAAGAGCAGAAGATTGTGAAAAAGGTATTAAAAATCCAAAAGGCAAAGGAAAAGCTAGCTGCCAAGAGTTCAAAATGAGTATTTTGGCTTGAATTTGCGAATTTTAGTGTTGATAGTGGTTAGATGTTTCTGGGTTCTTCCTTAAATGGGTCTTTGTTGACAAATCAATCCCCCAAGTGTCCTGTTTTGTGATATCATGTAACCTACTATGTCACAATTTCAGACCATTTCTAGAGATTTTTGTATCATTACATTGCTGAATCTAATACCATCTTGCTTGCTCAATCTTATACCATCTTGATCATGAATGCGGATTTCAGGAAACAATGTTCTTGGGATGTTCTTCAGTATGAACTGGGAATTGACATGATATTAAGAACGTTGAATTACTACAAGAAAGCCACTAATTTATTTGTTGATATCATTAATTAGTGGCTTTCTTGTGGATGGTTTAGCCCAAACTTCTTCAAAATTGTTTCTTATTTTCACTAATATAAGAAATGGAAATTGACATGATATTAATAATAACTATATGAAGGACTCAAAATTATAATTTATTTTACTCAAAAAAAATTTGTTAAGAATTATTTACATAATTAATTTTTACAATTTTCATGGAGAAAAAACGACTTTCTTTTATCATTTTTAGAATAAATTTAAACGTTAAAAGGATAAAATAATAATTTTCAAAATTTAGAGACATTTTGTAGAATTTAAATGGAATTATAATTTAAGATATAAAGATGTAGAAAAAAAAAGTTGTTAAAATTTATTGAATAAACAAAAAATTAAATGTCAAGAATGGGATTCGAACCCATGCCCTTTCGGACCAGTACCTGAAACTGGCGCCTTAGACCAACTCGGCCATCTTGACTTGTTGGAAGGAAATTTCAACTAATTATTTTTAACCTTATAACAAGATTAAGTTGTATGAAGTATTTTACTTAAAACAATCGATGATATGAACCAAGACAACAAACAAACACAGTAAATAAGATTAGTGAAGGTATCAAATTAGAGACCGACATGATGATATCGGAACATATAGCAACGCTCTCATTCCGGGAAATTTAGGGACAATGGTCCTACCTCTATTATATATTCCATGGTGAAAAAGGGTTAAGAAAAAGAAAAAAAAGTGCTTCAAACTTGAAAATTCTTATGCCACCGTCAATCAACACCCAATTTCCTGATTTGAAGTTGGCATTTGGTTTAGATCCCCACCTCTCCATAGCCTCACTACTCACTTGTTTTGTATTCAAATATCTTATCAAAGATTCTGTGGTTACCAAATGGGAGATCACCATTTGGCTTAAACACACTCCCATATGTCCTCATCACCGGTAACTTTAACTTCATTTACTTGTATCAAATCTTATACTCCATTGTATGTTCATACGAATAAAGCAAAGTACCACACAAACGTCTTTGTTGCTATATTCGACAATAATGGAAGTTTTAGGTCCTTTGAAGCGAACGGTAACATATCGCCATCAGCGTCACAGTTTTAAAACGCGTTTGATAGGGAAAGATTTCACTTCCTATCAAACCCTTTAAGAGGGTCGATTGTGTGAGAACCCATGTTGGTTAGAGAGGGAACGAAGCTCCTAAAAGCCTATACTAAGCATGAGTGTCCCTTAAAACCAGCATGATTGTAATAGCATAAAGAAAATGTCAATATTAAGTGAGGCGCTAGATTTGACCCTTTTCTTAATCATGAATATGCATGATGTAACCTATTATTCTTTGGACCATCTCTTCACATATAGGCTGTTATTAGCTTCCCATCAACCAAAGTCACTTCACTAAAGATTAAAATCAAAATCTATGCTTATAACTTAAGTTATCTCCATCCATCTTCCAAAATCTATCATATATTTTAGAACAATAATGCAAAGTTTGAGCAAATTCAAAGCAAAAATGAAGTGATTGAAGTATTTGGATGTAGCAAACCTAACTAGCAACCCAATTCCATGCAAAACCCATATCAAATATCAAATATCTTGCAAAGGTGGTCACATATTTGCCTTTGGAATTGACATCTACCCTCTCATTGAAATACAACGTATACCTAAGGTTGGTTCCTCCTAGGTACCTCCAAAACCTCTTAGCCTAACTTTGAGCACTTCACATGGCCCATTTGGCTAACCACTTAAATATCCCTTTTTGCTTTTACATACCCTCGAACCATGATCGTTAACCATCGTTCGTTCGCTTAATCAATGATTAAATCACGCTAAACCGATAAGACGATGAGCTAAAATCAATAGCATCACCAACAACAAAAGATGGCAACTACTTCCCTTCAATGGTGGGTTTAATTAGCTTTAATCAACTTTTAAGTACATTGTTAAAGAAACTTTCCACTTTAACAACCAACATGATTGAATGTGTGGGCCTTAAGCATTGAATTCTTACTAATATTTGCATACAAATTGTATGTAAATCAAAATATAATCTCTTATGATTCAAGGGTTTTGGAAATTTGATTCAAATTTGTACAATTTTTGTGTTGTGATGCCATAAAGATTTTAGGTATATTGCTTCCAAACTCCCAAAAGATTAATACACTCAAAATCACACATAATTCAAAAGAAATATGATGGAAAAACATTACACGAGCACAACACAACACACATAATTTTGTTTATTCAGCACCCTCAAAACAAAAACAACATCCTTGTCGTCGTCGTCGTCGTCGCAGTATGTGCAATCTCTTAAGTTTCGTTTGAGGGAGACGACGAGCAATCACTGACTACCTCCGTTCCAACTTGCCTTCTATGGAAACTCCGGTGGCAACCGCAGGCAGCGCAAGTCAGTGCAGAAGTCGTACCTTCATCGCCGCTTGCCATGAATTCTCGACACCCATCGACGGCGTACCCTCCGACACTCGCAGCGTGGTTCTTTTGGCACTCCCCATATCTAACACTCCTTACTGTGAAAGAGGAAGCCTCAGTGTCTCTCGAGGGTTCTTCTGATCTTCTGAGCACCACTTGACGCTTTCTCATTTTCTGAGTTTCTTTTTAGCTTGATCTTGTTTTACACCAAGAAAGCTCCAATTTTTGGTTATGGGTTTGAAGAAAAATGAATTGGGAGAGATCACAAATTGAGTTGCTTAAATAGAGTGAAAAATAGACTTTATCACATGTCGTTTTCTCATTTCTTAATTATATATTATAGAGATTAAATCATAATCATTCTATTATCTTTATTAATCATAACCATTAGTATAATGTGGAAAAAAAAAAAAAAACTACTTGATTTGGTCAAGAACAGCTGCTTTTAATCGCGAGGAGACATGTTTTTTCTTTCAAATCTTCTCATATATATATTTTTTAATTTATTAATTAACAAGAACTATGAACAGAGCCCAGATTTGTCTTTGGAAATAGGGTGATTTACAACTCACCAGAAGGCAAAAGGAAAAAGAAGCAATAATTCATAAGTAAATAAGGCAAAATTTAAAGATGTTATGAATAGTTTTTGTTTCCACGTAGCTGCTTGATTGGTTTAATATAGAATTGAACAGCTATGGAATAAGTTGGGTTTTGAACCTAATTTGTATTGTGGCCCCTAAATCAGTGTAAAGAGGGTTTCTTCTAATTCTTACTATTTCTTACCTTTTACGCCCTACCATATCACATCAAATTGAACATGTTTTACGTAACGAATTAAAGTAGACAATATCGACTAGTGATGAGCTTGGACTGTTATAGAAACGGTATCATTTCATTTACATAATCGTCTACTCTAGTTATCCATATCAAATTTTGGGGTATAATACATATAACTATATGTATATGGTTTAGTAAATGAATTGTTTTAGGCGTAAAAGAAATATGCATAGGAAGATGAGAAAGTGGTAAACCCCACCGACCAAACCAATTTTCATGTCATGGCCGCTTGTGTTTCTTAAAGCTTATTAGCTGCTGATACACACATTACCAAGATGTGAAACCACTACAAAAATACCCCCAAAACAAAAATGTTTCCATCTACTCCTAGGCATCTACATCTTCCAAGATCACATGTGAGACCCGACCCCAAATGAAGACATGATATACAACCTTTTGAGATGGGAACGAGAGTTGATGATACCCAAGTAAATGAAAGATACGC